TGTCATATGACCATAGCGATACCCCCCGTCATATGCATTTGTCCACATTTCTTTGTTGATGTCCATAATGTACTCGCACCCCTTCTTATTTTTGCCAAACAACTCTTGTAGCATCGACTTAAACCTTTGAGGTAAGAGTTCGTAACCTAAGCCATTAGGAATATGTAATAGTTAATATGAAGTATAAATAAGTAATAAGAAATTGATAGAAAAATTGGGAAAAAGTAACATACCCATCCGCACGACTAACTGACGTTCATCGTTCTTCTTGTATTTTCCGTAATAGTTTGCAGCAATATGACGGACACAATAACGATGTTGAACATGTGGAGGTCTATACATTGTACCCAAAGAGTCCATTGCTGCTTTTATCCCGGCTCCTCGGTCTGAAATAATGCATACTCGTTCCCTGGTGACAACATGTAAACGTAAATTTTTAAGGAAAAAAGCCCAAGACTCAGTGTCTTCTCCTTGAACGATGGCAAACGCAACAGGAAGAATATTGCGGTTTCCATCTTGGACCACAGCCAATAATAAAACTTGCTTGTATTTCCCATACAAGAAAGTATCATCAATTTGGACAACTGGTTTACAGTACTTGACTGCATTAATACACTGAGGGTAAGTCCAAAAGACACGGTAAAATTGGCAGCGATCGCGAACCATTCGATCATTCACGTAATGATGTTGAGTTTCGAACTCAACAATTGTCCCGGGATTAAGTCTTTGCACAACATGAAACCAACTGGGCAGCTCGTTGTAAGAGGAATCCCATTCGCCATGAAGTTTGCAAATGGCATTCTGTTTTGCCAACCACGCTTTTTTATATGAGACAGTGTACCCATATTGTGACTGTATAGCAGAAATCAACATTGCAACAGCTATATGAGAGCTTTGCTTCACAATGGGCATGATTGCTTGACAAATAATGTTGGAGTCCAAGTTGGGATGATCCTGGTTTATACCTATTGTACAACATGTATGAGGACCGTTGTATCTGGTTAGTTCCCATAAGTTGTTCTTCCTCTTCCTCTTTGATACACGGACCATCCATTGACATCCGTTGTCACGTTGGACACAGTAGCAGACATATTTCTCCGTGTTAGATCGATCAACTCGGGACTGAACTGAGTTACGAATATTGTAACTCTTTATTGCCATCATTGCTTCCTCCTTCGATGCGAACTCCATTCCAATATGTAAATTACCGTCATTGACTGATGATTGAAGTCCATAGTTACCAACATCAGGAAGATCTGGAAATTCAGGCTCATACATTGCATCATAATCAACCTCATACATATGTGCAGGAAGTTCGGCTGATGTTTTATTTATCGGAACGTCATCCTCATCATCATCAGAATGTACGTTAAACTGTGGTGAGTCAGGTTCAACGAATAATCCCGTTTCAGCACCATCTGCACCTGGCTCCCGAAGAGGTTCTTCTGGTAGAGATGAGGGTTCCTCTGATAATCCAATGTTGAGGTCAAATAAGTTCCCGCTTGCGTGTCCTCCCCTTGAACTTGAGGCCATTGTATCATGTGGGATGTGAATAGACTGTCGTCTCGTTGGCGTTTTCATATGTAAGTCGAAAACATTGGCAGATGAATGTCTGCCCCTTGAAGTAGAAGAGATGTTGCCATATGGATTATTGGTGAAGCCACGTGGGTTGAGATCATAAGCAGTTGCAGATGAATGCCTTCCTATTGAACTTGATGGCATGGTATATGGCGTTGGATCCGCCATTAATGATGTGAAATCATTACAGATCAGTTGTGTCGGGCTATCAACTTGATCAGTTTGATATGCAATGCCAAAGTGAGAGGAATATGAGAGACCACGAGTTACACGAACCTCAATAAAAGTGGCATACATTTCAATAAGAGATTGTGAACTCCCCATATGAGCATCAACCATCATAGAAACATCATCATCGTTTGAAAGCTGAAATGATGTATACGTGAGCGGAAAAAGTTCAGTAGGAAATCTGTACTGAAGTGAAGATAGTCTTCTCTGGCCTGCTACACGAATCTTTAACAAAATTTTTGTGATTAACTCCTCAATTGTGATGTTTCTCTTCAAGGTTAAGGGGATATAATGATCTGACTCAAAAATAACCCCCTCTTCAGCTTCCTTAATTAGTCCATCATACAAAACAACAGCAGAAAGACGACTCATTTTCAGAGAATTTGAGAATTTAGATCAATACCTAAATAATATAAATTATAAAAAATATAAATTAATATAAATTCATAATAACTTTAAAATAAAAATAAATTTAAATATTAACATTAATTATAAAAAATATTACCATATCGCTAAAATGTCTGGAGATATGATTAATATCCAATCGCAACAGCATTTCGTTTTCCATTATAACTGTAGACAAAACAATATAATTAGCAAAAAAAATTAATAATTCTAATAAATAATAATTATATAAATATTATTTTAATAAAAATAATAATATTTACATAAATATATTAATATAAAAAAATAATAACTATTTAAAAAAATAATAACATAAAAATAAATTTCTTACCACTAATAACAAATTTAAAACTCAAATAGTTAGAGAATTTGAGTTATATAAGAGAGGAGAATATGATTTTGGTGTGAAGAATGAGGGAGGGTCGAGGGGGTTTATATAGGGGAGTATGAGGGGTAGTTAGGAAAAACGGATGGGGGCATTTATGGCATTTAATTGAAGGCGCGTCTCCGGGGATGCGCTTTCCACACGTGGCAGTCGAGCTGGCAAAGGCGCGTCCCCGGGGAAGCGCCTTCCACACGTGACATCCAACTCAGCGAAAACACGGGTAAAGCGCGTCCCCTTTGCCAGCTCAACAGAAAAGATGCTACTTCGAGAAATATTGGTTAAACGGTGTCAGAAAAAAAAATATTAAAGAAAATTAGTGTCCCGTGTTTTTTGTGGGGTACAAGTCTTGTTTGTCAGAAGGCACCTACCCCAATCATGCAGGCCAGGGCTCCCCTTCCTTTCCGTTTTTAGCTTTTTCTTGCATTATTATTATTATTATTATTTGCTAAATTTCGTCCCCAACATTCAATGCCAGATCTTCAAATCACTAGGATTGCCAAAGCTTTAACTGCCGACTTGAATTGATCTTTCCAGTTAAATCTTGTTGGATTAAGGAGACATGCTCGTTTTTACTGCCATTTTTTTACGAGTTGGATTTGCTATTATTGTTCGCTTGTTTTAGGTTTCCTCGCATGGGGTTCTCTGGGGTTCCTGAGGTTCAGCAGTGGGCGCTGGATGCCTTATATGTCAACTGTTTATCACACAAGCATCTGTATGGGCTTAAATTTACATTAAATGATGCCTGGCTACAAACAAAAGGGTTTAATTAACTTGGCAAATTAAGGTCCACCCCAAACATAGGGGCTGCATGGGAAAGTCCACAACATTCACCAAAAAGATTGGCACACGGCATAAATCCAACTACCCAGCAAACACTGCCTTTGTGCCAATTAGGCGGCAACCTTCTCTTCAATCAACTTTTTTAAGGGAATACCGATAAGTACTAGTGCTTTCCTTTTCCCAAGCAGTGTGTGAGCCCATTTTTAGCTCACTCTATGTATGAAGTGGATCAAGGGACCCATCTTTACGCCATGTAGCATCATAGTTGGAAATCATTGAAAGATTTTCGGATATATGATCCCATAATCAGATGACCTCTTTGCTCCAGCCTTCAATGTTACTGTTTTGACCTGGGCAATTTCATGCGAATGACGTTTCGGTGTATGCATCGTCTTTATTGCATCTAAGGGCCACCTTGGACGGACGAATTTAACCATTAAAATTGACTCAAGAATGGCAGATGGGAAACCCTGGTGGTAAACATAATTAATTACAATCACACGAAATCCAAGAGAAGATATTGGATTGTAATGGGTGTCTAAGTTGAAGAGTTTTGATGTCATGTGTGCATGTGCCATGACTTCCATGATTCCGTTTTATAAGGCTAAGCTCGTGTATGAACTGGAGAGTTTTAATTTGTTTTGGATTACATGATGTTCCTAAAATAGATAAACCCCCATAACAAGCTTCTCTCTCTCTCTCTCTCTGTCATATTGAAAACTAGAGAATGATACAAATGACTTCTGTTGAAAGGATCGCTTTCACATGCATCCAAACATTAGTTCTACACTTTCTCTGTCAATATTCACTTGCATACTAAAAATTGAAATTTATAAGAGTTAGAATTATTAAACTAATCAATGGATAGTTTGGCGTTGGATTTGTCATAACCATTCTAACTTTTAAATCTGAAACGATGTATTTTTTTTATTTTGATTTTAAATGGAATCATATGAGATAAAAATGTTATAATCATTCTATTACGTTGGATCTTAGAAAAAATAACATTCTCTTAAACCATTTATATTATTTGATGAGTTTATTTTTATTGTTGAATTAAAAACATTTAATTTTAACTAAATGATATATTGATGTAATATAGTTCGCTAACTGTATGATACATTAATCATAACCTATTATTTAATTTTTATTATAAATTAAAAAAACGAAGTCCATGATGTATGATATTGACAAATGTCGATGGGTCCTAAAGTTACTAACTCCATCTGACATCATTATTCCGTGGTCTTATTGGGCAGTGAATTAAACGCTCTTTTAACCAGCGTAGCCCAACAACCGTTCGTTCTATTCAATCGTCACTCCCAGTTATACCTCTGTCCTCAATAATAACAAAAGCAACCCGACATTTTATTTAAGGCGGGGAAAAAGGGTTGGATTTAAAGACAACATACGATGAATATTGCCCAACAATTCAAACTTCTTTTCTTTCAGTCTCTAATCGCTAAAATAGTAAACATTTCTGCTAAATTATAGGGCTTCAATCAAATATCATATCTTCTTTTCTTCTGGTTGTTGATCATAATTCGAGATTGGTCATGGTGAACTGTATTTCGTTATATCATGCAAGTATTAGCTGTTGTTTAATTTGATACCGATTTCCAGATTCTTTTCTGGAAAGAAAAGCAGGATCTTAAGAAATGCTTTCTAAAACGGAAGGTGATGCTTCGTCGTCTGGTCTTCTTTGCTTAGAAAATGAGACCTTTTTGAAAGAAAAGGTAGAGTCAGTTGACGAGAACTACATTGCTGACTACCATGAAGAGTGTCTGCAGATGTTATTTGATAGAGAAATGAGCTTTGGGTTTAAAAAAAGTGAACCTTTGGTGCTTTGCAACTACCTCAAACATGTTCGTTCGGAAGCTATAACGTGGATCCTGAAAGTCGGTTATTTTACACTCTATGCCTTTTTGCTTCATTGATTTTTTTAGAATGTTTAATTAGTATTGATATTCTGTATTTGATTTTTTTTTAAACTAATCCAGGCAAGAGCAGCATTTGGGTTTCGTTTCCAAACAGCTTATTTATCTATGATTTATTTTGATCGATTCCTTTTCAGATATTCCATTGATGTAAGTTCACATACTTTTACATTCCCCCAGTTTTTTATTCCGTAACATTTGTTTTCTTGTTGCTATTGTTTACTTGGTGTTGTTTTGCAGAGTGAAAAATCATGGGCAATGCGGTTATTGTCTATAGCATGCCTTTCATTGGCTGCAAAAATGGAGGAGATGGAAGTTCCTGCACTTTCAGAGTTTCAAATAGAAGGATTCAACTTCGAGACCAAAACTATTCAGAGAATGGAGCTTTTAGTATTAAATACTTTGGAATGGAGAATGAGTTTAGTCACCCCATTTGCCTTTCTTCATTTTTTCATTACGGAAATGTGCAAATCATCACCACCAGATATGAAAGTGATTATACATCTCATTTTGTTTACAATGAAAGGTAGTTCTCATTCAAGCCATCAATATTTTGAATCCGTTCAGATCCTGTTCGAGTTGATGATCCTTTTTTGTATGTGTGTTTTTGAATATAGAGGTCAATGTAATGGAACACCGACCTTCTGTTGTTGCTGTTGCCGCTATACTGAGAGCATTGAATCAAAGATTATCAAGGAAAGCATGGGAGTGCAGGATGAATTCTGTTTCTTTTTCTGGATTTCTTGAAATTGTGAGTCTTTTTATTATTTGTTTTTTAATTTATTTTGTCAGTTTTGGGATTACTTGATTCATAGTTTTGGGTTGTTCTGTCACAGGAAGATGTGTTTACATGCTACAATTTGATGCAGAAAGTAGAGATGGGAAAATCTAATATGCAAAAAACTGTAAATTTGCCAGACTTATCATCAACCAGGGTAACCGATCCCTTGGCCGATTCTTCAACTTCTGCCAAATGAGCACCGATTAGCTCTGTCTGGAAAAATACCATAGATTTCGAGTAAGATACACAAGTATTTACTAGCGGACGGCTACTGATAAGTAGTGGTCTCTACTCTTTAATGAGTGTGTTGTTTGTATTGATTGCTTCATCGACATGGTTTCAAGTTGATCGAATGCTCAGAGAAAGGAGAAACGGAGATGAATAAGAAAAAATAAATAAATAAAGAATTGGTCAGAAAATGTGGTCTTGAAAGCTGCCGGCAACAGTCATTTGAAGCTTACTGTTCTCCCCCCTTCTTTTAAATCATTATTTTAATCTTTATACCCATCTTTTTTGGCTTTTTTCAGTATGGGATTTAATATAATTTCTCTGGCAACCCTACCTTTTGATGGGATGCTTTTGTTTGTGTAGTTGGAAAGTCTGATAACAATGTGGGATTTCCTGAGAGTGAGGAAGTTTGTTTGATTCTATGCATGATGTTGCATGTTGACCTATGGAGGAAGAAAAGTACTTTGTAAAGTTATGTAATTGAATTTTGCATGCAATGGGCTAATTTTTTTTGCCAAGTCTTGTTACAGTTCCATCTTTTTATAAAATGCCTTACCCTTTGATGTTACTTTATGACCAGCCAATAATTTGAATTGTTGATATATACTATACAGCTGATAATTAAAAGGACGATTGTCCCCTTGATATGACAAACCTTTTAGCATTCACTTTTATTCCCTAAAATTTCTGTTTCCAACAAAAAAGCTTGGAATGATACTTTGAACTTTGAAACCAAACCGGGGCACATAGCAGGGCAATTGTTCCTTCATATAGACCGTAAATAGATAAGTAGAAAACAAAAAGAAGCCATTTCCTAGTAAGATTATTTGACTGAACTAAAAGGATCCGAGGAGAATAGGTTGGCTTTTCTGCAGATGGTTGTGAAAGTGAAAGTGTGATTTTTTATTATTTTTGAGTAAAAACTGTTCCATGCGCTATCCGCCTCATCATCAAACATCAAATCTGGAACAGTGGAAAATCTTGGTCATTTTGGGCTTACATACAGAGCTTCAACATCAAAACAATCTGGTTGAGCTGATGGTTCGTATGTATATGATCTTTATATGCCAAAATTGAACAAAAAAGCATGTATTATTGAGCTTTGGGTCCGCTGCAAATCCGATGATCAACCGTATTATACTAGGCAATAATATTGTACATTATGTATTATTAAGTTTAAAGCTTAGCTATCTGTCGTAACCGGTTTTCGTCCGGACACAAAATTTTTACTTAGCGGGAAAAGTGATGTGAATAAATGGTTTTAAAATGTTTTGGGAGTCGTCATCGGCCTTTTGGGTCAGGTAGGTCGAATACCTAAAATTATCTTTTAAAATAGTTTTTAAGAAAACATCAGTTAAAAGATAAACTGGTCTGTGTTTTAACCAAAAATTCATTTTTTTAATAATAAAATGAATTCGTGGTCGATTACGTTTGGGGAAGGATTAGCACCCCCACAACGCCCAAAATTGGTACTCATTAATTATAAATTGTCTCTATTATTGGAAATTTAAAAATTCAAAAATATATTTAATTTGTAATCTTGTTATTTCAAATTTATAATTTTAAGAAAACATTTCTATTAATATATATATATAATTGATAAAAGTAAAATATTTATCTAAAAATATTAGAAAATGGACATCCATTTACTTTAAGACTGTCCTTTCTTAATATTTAAATAAATATTAAAAATAATAATTTTCTCTAATAAAACAATATGTTTTTCTGGCTTTTATAAGTAAAATATTTATTTATTTTTTAAATATCAGAATAGGACATCTAGTTGCTTTAAGACTGCCCTTTTCTTTGATATTTAAAAATAAATATTATTATAAAATTATAATATTGTATTTCATGTAAATATTAGTGAATAAAACATAAATAAATAAATACAATACTATATTTAAAGTATAGGATCAAAATAAAATTAATACTATATGGTATTTTATTATTAATATAATATTAAGTAAAAAAAATAATGATCAAAATAAAAGAAATTGAAAGCAATAATATTAAATTGCAAAATATTAAAACTTATGGTTAAATTAAAAATATAAGTGACTAAAATATAAAACTCAAAATCCTAATTCGAAATACATAAAATATGGGTATTAAAAGTATAATTTAAACATAATAATAATATGTGACTAGAATATAGAAAATTAAAACTATAGGTGTAAATAATAAAATAAAACCTTATGGTAAAAATAATTAATGATTAAATTATAAGCTATAAAACTTAAATGGACTAACTCGAAATATTATAAAATTTGAGCGCTAACAGTGTGATTTAACCTATATTAGTTATTCGGGATTGAAATATTAAATATAAAAATATGAGGGACTAAATATGATATTTATCCTAAATATATAAATATTTACTGATTAATGACTAAAACATAATATATTAAAATTCGAATACCAAATTAAAATAAATAAAAATAACTGGTGGTGACTATTTTGTAAAGATTACAAACATGGAATACCGCAGAAGGGGTTTACCCCTTAGGAAATTACAGAAACACCCTCCCCCAAAACGGCGTAGATCTATAATAATACCTTCGGTATTTCGAAGGTTTTGTTGGCCTGTAGCGTCTCCGATCACTGCGTGGTCTCTTCGGTAAACTTCTTTCCTCTTTTCTCTTTTATTTACTGTTGTAGGTTGTTGTTGGTTGCTCTGTTTGCTATCTTTGGTATCTGTTTCGCTCTCCGTGGTTGCTATCTTCTCTCGGGTTTTCTGCTTTTTTTCTCTTTTGCAAGGTTCGGTGGCTTTTATAGCCACCATGATGTTCTGTTTGGACCGGTCCCGAGAGGAAAACCTCGGTGAGTCACCAAAGCTAGGCTGGTGACTCATCGTAGGGATGGTTATGGGTTGCCATCTGGCGTTCTGGAGTCTTCCTTGAGACGGCGGCGTGGCAGCAAGGCGTCGTCAGCAGCTGGTTGGACCATCTGGCTTGGGAGGTGTCGGCAGAGGCGGCTGCTGAGAGTTCTTGGAGGAGGCGACATCAGTGCTAGGGTTTAGAAACCTTAGCTGAAACACTAAATGTTTAGGGTTTATTTTTGGTTTGGACTAATAAACGGGCCTTGTAAATGGGTTTAGGGTTTTGTAATATTTAATTTAATAATATTAATAATATATATATAATAATAATAATATAGTGAAAAATTAATGTCCACAGCTGCCCCTCTTTGCTCATTCTTGTGTTAACAAGAATAGAGTAAAGACGAAAAAGATAATAATTTTTTCATTTGACTTCTTTTGAGTAGGATGGAAAGGTTGTAAACATTCTTTCCAAATGTCTTATCATCTTGCACTGTATGTCTTATAGATGACCCGGAGACTTTAAAAAACATCAAAAAACTCCCGAAGGTTTTAAAAACATCATGCACTGAAGGGCTTACAGATGACCCGAAGGTTTTTGATAATATCATACACTGAAGGGCTTACAGATGACCCGGAGGTTTTGAAAACATCATGCACTGAAGGACTTACAGATGACCCGAAGGTTTTTAATAACATCATGCACTGAAGGGCTTACAGATGACCCGAAGGTTTTTGATAACATCATGCACTGAAGGGCTTACAGATGACTTGAAGGTTTTTGAAAATATCATGACTTGAAGGGCTTACAGATGACCCAAAGGTTTTGAAAACATCATGCACTGAAGGACTTACAGATGACCCGAAGGTTTTTGATAACATCATGCACTGAAGGACTTACAGATGACCCGAAGATTTTTAAAAACATCATGCACTGAAGGGCTTACAGATGACCCGAAGGTTTTTGAAAACATCATGCACTGAAGGGCTTACAGATGACCCGAAGGTTTTGAAAACATCATGCACTGAAGGACTTACAGATGACCCAAAGGTTTTGAAAACATCATGCACTGAAGGACTTACAGATGACCCGGAGGTTTTGAAAACATCATGCATTGAAGGACTTACAGATGACCCGAAGGTTTTGAAAACATCATGCACTGAAGGACTTACAGATGACCCGAAGGTTTATGAAAACATCATGCACTGAAGGGCTTACAGATGTGGGAAATAGTTTACAAAGTAAAAAACTATGAAAATCATTTTCTTACTATTCAACAATTTCATTTTTAGAAAAGATTAAATGAGAAATTTTAAAAATCGTTTTCTCATTGAAATAACTTGTTGATTGGGTAACATGTCCCAAGATAATGCTCATTCTTGTGGATTGTGTCCATCTATTCTTCAGATGTTTGCGTGATTCTTGCATTTATGGTTTAGAATACCTTTTTCTTGTAAGGTATTTTCATCATGAATCTTCTTGTTCATACGAAGATCTGTAAAACTTCATGTTTGAATGCACTCAGATGTATCAATGTAATGCATTGTCTATTGTGTAAATGATGTTCTTATGAATGCATGAATATTGATGCAATCTTCATTTGACTTCAAAGTGGTGAACTTGGTCTTCTTTCATTTGATCATTTATTTCCAGGGTTACCTTTGGCTATCAGTTTAGCAACCTATGTCATAAAGTTGAAGAACCATCTGATCAATCTGTATATTTGTGTCTTCTTTGCTTGATTTAAGTCTCAGAAGAAATGTTTCATTTATGGAACTCTTACCGTAGTCAAAACTATGATCTTGTTGCCCTATTTTTTCATGAATAAAACTGACTTTCTTAATCTGGACTTGTGTAGAAATCTAATAAAGCTTTCATCTTTGAAAAGAGAATCTATCATCTCTGAGAAAATCTATCATCTTTGAAGAATGTAGATGTAGATGTAGATATACCTGACTCAGTAGGGATTAATTAGGAGATCAACATCTGTTTTGATTTGACTTTTGAAACATATCTTAAGGAGGATTTATCCTAATTCCTTTCATGTCTCCACATATAATTGGATCTCGAACAAGGCAGCTTGGATTATATCATGTCGAGATGCTTAACAATAATCTGTTGTTCGACATTAGTTGACTCAACTAAT